GCAAGCAAAGAGACCGTGAAAACCGGTAAAAGCAGACAGCTTTCTCCTTTTACCGGTTCTCACGGTCTCTTTGCATGCAGATTTATTATATATTGTAACGTGTTTCATTACTGAAGACGCCGTAGAGATGGTTAAGTGGTTTATTTAACAATCTTCAAATAACGGCCAATATTACGGGTTTCCACACTTTACAAACCCTACAACAAAATCTCTTAACACTATCTTCAAGAGTCTTCACGTATTAATAACGCGGGAGCTATACAAGTCTCCCTGAATTACACACTCCAGATATAACTGGTTATCACTGGTTATCGCACACGCGTCTGTAGCTCGTAACTTGCGAACTGAGAACTCGTTGGTAACGCACTGACTGGCTGACTCAGTACAACTCGGTGGTAGCTCGAGGACTGACTGTGAATAGCCTTCGCTGCGCCTCATGTAGCCTCGATCGGACAATACAGAAAACGGCCACGTAATAAGCACCCTTGTTGCCTGGTGCTGTGTTGCTAGCAACGCTAGCGGTAGTAACCGCTGTTACTACCATAACAATCCTGTTTGTGTCACCGTTACATTACCGTGCGGAGGAGGGGGAGGGGAGCGCTGACTCACCCGTCGCGTCACTGCTGGTGGGGGGGTTCTCCTTTGCGCAACATGTCACAATATTTTTTCTTCTACCCTGAAGATGGAGGCAATACGTTCCTCCGAAACGTCGGTTAACACCACATATACACGGTGCCAAATCCCAGAAGACTGCTTTCTTCATAGTCACCACCGTGAAAGCCTCAAATCTTACATGGTGCTTTAGTTAGTTTAGATTTCAGTAATTCAAAACTGGTCTGTTCTTTCTCCGTCCAAGTCCAATCGTTCTCTTTCTTCAGTAAATCTGTCAGTGGTCTTGCAATTGCACTAAAGTCAACTATAAATTTGCGGTAATAACCTGCGAGACCTAAGAATGATTTGATATCCTTCTGTGATTGAGGTATCGGAAAATCTGTCACAGCTTTGATCTTTTCTTTGTCCGGCTTAACTCCCTCGGCCGTGACTACGTGACCTGACTAGTTCAATTCCTCCTTCAAAAATTCACATTTATCTGGCTCTATCTTTAAATTGAATTCACGAAGTTTTTGAAAAACAGCTTGTAATTTTGAGTTATGTTCACTTAGACTTTCTCCTATTATGAGTATATCATCCATGTAGACTAAACATTTGTTTCCGATCAATTCAGACAAAACATTATTCATCATACGCTGAAATGTAGAAGGTGCTGATTTGAGACCAAATGACATTCTTTTATATTCAAAATGCCTGTCTGCTGTGCTGAAAGCAGTTTTACATCTATCTTCTTCTGCTATTGGTACCTGCAAATATCCACTGGCGCAGTCTAATGCAGTGAAATACCTAGCTCTTCCTAGCTTATCTAGTATGTCTTGTATGTTAGGTAGTGGGTAACTATCGCCAACTGTTACTTCATTTAATTTTCTAAAATCTATGCAAATTCTCCATTTACGCTTTCCCGATGGGTCTAACTTTTTTGGAACAACTAGTAGCGGGAAATTCCATCCGCTGTTACTGGTTGTTATTATATCTTCCTCTAACATCTGACTAACTTGTCTTTTTACCTCCTCACATTGTGCCTCTGGTAACCTGTAATTCCTCAAAGTTATTGCTCTACCCTTTGGGATGGTAGGAGTCGGAATTGTGTGCGCTGCTGCTGTGGTAGCAGTTAGTGAGTCACCTGGTAGTTTGAATATGTCTACGTATTCCTCACAAATTTTCCTAATATCGTCCGCTCCTTCTGTTATATGGTTTAATCTTAAATTTTCTTTTAGTAATTGCAATCTTTTTACTCTTGTTGTTCGATTTTCGAATTCCTGCCTATGCAACATAGTGGGTGGTTTCTCTAATTTTGGATCCATGTTCATACATACTGGTTTATCTGTTAAATTAACTAACAAACACGGAAATTCAAAGGGTTCGCAATTTACTAAGCTAGCTGCACAAATTAATCCTGGTTGCAAAATTTGATGTTCAATAAAACGAACTCCTTTCACTAATGTTTTGCATTTTACAATTTGCTCACAATAAGGTGGAATGAAGACAGGTGTTTTCTTTTGAAACCCATAGCCTGCATTCTCTAGCCAATCTTGTCCTAGAATCATATCTAAGTTCCTGGGTAAGTTGTCAACAACATAGCATTCTTGTTTTAAAGGTTCTAATGTGTTTTCAAGGTTTATATTCACTTTTCCTTTTATCTCTAGTTCTTTCCCAGTTACTCCAAATATCTGAAAATTACCATTTTTCTCTTCAATGAATTTTGCTAGTGATGATTCTTTCACTAACGATACCTGCGAACCTGAATCCAGAAGAGCGACCCTTAACTCTCCTTTCAACTCTTTGCTCACTACATATATCTCATAGTGGCCTAACACGTCATCCCCGATGACTTTCTTTGAATCGTTTCCTACGATTCCTACAAGATTCTCATGATCATTTTTGATCCCTCTTGAATCTTCACCCGAATCATTTCCTATGATTTCTGTAGGACTCTCATGAACGTTTACGAACCCTATTGACTTCCTACTATTATTTATAATGGTCCCGTCGGATCCATGAAGATCAGAAGCGTCCCCCTGTCTTCCTTTACCAACTTTATTCCTTATTATTTCTTCTCTCTCGCAACCTATCGGGCGGGTCATCCTCGGTTGCATAGGATACCCTACTGCCCATTTCCCTGTGAGCTCCCTGCTCTACAATTCCTGGTCTCATGCCCAGCCTTGCGACATGAACCGCACGTAGGTGCCCTTGCCCTACAATCTTTTGCCATGTGGCCTGCACGCTGACATCTAAAACACTTAGGCGAGGTAACTGCATTTACCTCCCTCTTTACCTGGGGTCTGTAATCCTTCCTTAAGCTTCCATAGCTACCTGCGTTCAGCCAGTTCAAACTATGCTGATTTCCTTTAAGTTTTTGCGATTTCACTTCGCTCTCTTCCTGTAACGCTGTTTCTATGAGTTGGGCTGACGAATGATCTTCTCCTTTTGCTTTTACCACGTATTTTATCCTATCATCTTTTAGACCTGGTACGAATGATCCCTTCATAAATTCAGAGACTAAAATAGCTCCTCCTTCCACTGCACGGGGATTAGTTTTTCTATTCTAGTTCTCGCCTCTCTCGTCAAGTCTAAACCCATATTGTCAATTCTTGAACCCCATTGAGCTACAGTTTCACTCATCCCCTGTTTGGTTGTGAAGAGCACACTTGCATAGTATTCAAGTGTTCTTCTCACAGCATAATTTTCTTCCAAAATTACTTTAATTTGCTCCCATGTATGTCTTTCTGATCGAGCTAATAATCTGTCCTTAGCTTCACCTGTGATTTTGGACTCAATAAATTTCAAAAGAAGGGGATGTTGTGATGGGTGAACGACCTGTCGGGCTGCCTCAACTCCCTCAATAAATTCGCGCAACTGCTTAGGATTCCCACTGAATGTAGTTGATATTAGTTTGACTGCCTGAACCACAGAAATAAAATCAACCTCTTCGTCTGCATAGTGGATGGACTAACCTTTGGAAAATAGAAGAGTAAGGGTGCTCGGGACGTCGAAGATGGTGCCCCTTGGGGTGTCTTCTAGCCCCTCTCGCGTCGACTGCTGCTTCCGGCTGGTCACCTGGGCTGTCCCTCCGGATTCAGCAGAGGCCGCTTGTGGAAGCTCCCTCACACGGAAGTGGTGGTTGCCTTCGTCCAGGTACCCTGGGCCCTTGGGATCCTCTAGAGCATTGATTCCTCGGAGCAGGCTTGAATTCTCCTCGGCGCTTCCAAGTCCCTCTAGCCTTTCCGTCAGCAACCGCGTTGATTACTAGAATGTAATTACGAATATTATTCTGCAATTATCCCACCAACGCTGCCACCATGTAATGAAGTAATGAAATATTTGAGTGGGCTTTTCTCGCTGATGTCGTTGCCGCCGGTGATGAGGTGGTGAAGTCACTGGAGAGAAAGCTCTCGTAGAATTTTAGGATACCTTTTGTAGGTACGCAAAAGACCTAAGTCTTTTGGTTGCAGAATATAAGAATGTTATTTAATATGATGTTATGAAGATACACTGATGTTAAGTAATTACAATTGCAATACAACACCAACTTCCAATAGAATATAGGAAAATTTACACAATAAAGGCTCGGACCGAAAACCGGCAGAGCTTCGCCGTCTGAAGAATGATCAATAGATATGATACTTGGAGCTACAATACTCCTGTATTTATGGGACCAATCTGGACGTTGGCTTGAACAAAGTCCACTCATAGCGTCTACCAGTATGACAAAACATCTGTGCTCGTGGGCGTGAGTCAGCTCCTCTCCCAGTTTAGACCTATAACACACACTTGTCACGACATGTTACAATTCTTAACTTTCAGACTTTGATGTGGTCGCCTTTATCAGATTAATTGGTTAGGGCGACTGTTTACTCCCTCGCATCGACATCAGGGTCATAATGTCATCTGTCCCATGCGGGTGACTAAGATAACAGCTTTTATTAGTAACATGTCTAGACTGGTTTCATACATTATTCTTACATTTATTCTATAATACCAAATGTTACGTTTGATTGAACCTTAGAGGGGTTCTTTTAATTATAGTAATTATAGTGGTAATTAATGACAGGTGTTACTGTATCCATTCAGTAACCCTCTAGTTTTGCTACTTAGTCATGCTTTTCATTTGATTACATTTACAATATTCCATTCATGACATATATCAATAATTGATTATAGTACATTCGTTACATACACTTGATTACACTCAGTACACCTTTGTACTCCATCATATACCTTCTTTATGCTCCTTCATTAAAAGTGCAAAATTTCTTACAATATAGAAAGTATAACACAATCACAGTACACGGTGAGTATGGAGTTTCTACAGACCTTTCAGCTACATCGAAAGGTGCATAACCTACAGAAATATCGTAACAAGAATTTTCCACTTCATATATATTTCTAACTTAACTCGGGGTAATAAGCATACCATTCATATACAGAAATAAGGTCTATATTGAGTATGGCTGGGTAACCGCTATTATAGAATAAGATATTTATAAGAATGTGCCGGATGGGCAATGCCTAGGCCCATTTTCTATTTACAATATATTTTTCTACAATAAAAAAATACCCCTATGACAGTCGCTAGCTCCTGCACGCTGACACCTACCGTCCTTTTATTAAGGCTCCCACACACCAGGACACCAGAGCGCACCAGACCGAACGCGGTACGGTCACGGTAGTCACGGTCGTCACGGTATCTACGTTATCTACTCCGTCTTCTCACACCAACAAAGCGGTGGTAGCGATCAGTTTGAAAACTCGCGTAAGCACAACATCGTAAACGATGCATCGATTATCTCGCCTGGAACGGCCTGAAAGAATCGATACTTTTGGTAGCGGTAGTTGATGATGATGAGCAGCAACAAGTAAGGTTTATTCCTTTTATTGTGTACAATTGGAGAAGTTTGAGAAGTTATTACAAATATTAACATCACACTTAATATATATTGATTAATATAGTTTTTCAGAAAGAAGCATAAGAAAATGTAGATTCACGACCTTAATCTGGTTCGTGAACATGAAGGAGAACTTCATACTTTATATCGGCAACTGCGGCAACATGAACGATTCTATAGTTACTTTCGGATGCCAATTCAGTGCTTTGATGATCTAATGGACCTAATTAAGGGAGATATTATGTAATTTTACTTCTTCAATATGTTGCTCTGTTGTTATACTCATTGTTCATGCTAACACACAGTCACGCGGCCTGTGGTCAAACTCTACAAGCTACATCCGATCGCCACCGCGGAGTAGAACGCTGCCTGTCTGAAAGCGTACTTACTGATGGAGCTGAGCCCTTCTTGAGGAGCCTCCAATTCTGCAGCTACTCAAGAAATTCCCAGCATTTTATGAATCCCGAAGGTTCATCACCGTGTTCACAAGAGCCCTCCACTGGTCCCTATCCTGAGCCACATCGAAATATCTGACCGCCACCGCGATCGCTCTGGTGTGTGCGTTCGTCGCTAGGAACGCTAGTAACACTAGTAGTCTTCCAGCCTGCAAAGTGGGTTATGAATGGCTGCGTTGTAAAAATTTATCGTACTATATCTATTTGATCCGTATGTATAATATTACACAGACCTGTTTATACATTTCTTGATTGTCGTTATAGCGATTTCATGTGTATCCACAAATGCGTTTTTATGTAATGGTGAAAGCTTTTTTGTTAAAACCACGGCTAAATACCGAAAGCATTTATCCTATTATTGATTAAGTAGATCGGTGGTATAGTATGGGAATGTTGTACATTTATTATAATAGTATGTTATTGTAACATAATTAAGTTTGGTACAGATTAGAATTTTAAAAATATGTATGACATTGAGCAGTGAAGGCTGCTCAGCCGGAAGTTTGTTTTTGCAATGTGCGACCGTTTCGTATTTTTGTGCATTACATAGATATATTGGAATTTTCTGGGACATGAATCTGATAAACATGCAGATTGTGCTGTTATCAAGTGGAAGTTTTTGTTCTTCGATAGAGTGACTACTATATGATTATAGTTCATGCACACAAATGGTCGCAAACTTCGACCTCTTTCGTGAAGTGTAGGTTATTTCTGGTGATTGACGTTTGTATGCAACATTATCTTAATAAAACTAAACTTCATCGGTTAGAGCATTTTGAAATTTTACAGTATGATGAAAATAATACGTGTAGATTGCGTTATATCTGAAATATTGAATGGTTTACCTCACATTCGTAATTGAAACTGGGTCTTCGTTTGAATATTAGTTTATTGAATATTGTATAACTGGTATTCTTAATGTATCAGTGAGAACAACAATTCTATAATAAATCAGTGCTACTGTATTAGCATTTGTTTAATGTGTCGAGGTACTGCTACATGTTTCTACCCTATCGGGTCGTCATCAGGCAATCATTACATGAATATGCCCCCTCTTTATTGGATTTGTTACCAGTATGGGTCGAAATCAGTGGTTTATAAATTCTCCGTTCATTTTGCATTATAATTTTAATTCTAAAGTAAGTCAAAAAACTAAAGCTATCCCTGTAACAGGCTGTGAAGGCCCATAGGGCTGTGAGATGTTGAGGGTCCCACATTATCTAGAAAATCGGCTCAAAGATGGTAAGATTGTCAGCCTTATGCGCCGGCCGCGCTTTACTCGCCATGAAAATTATTTAATTCCTGGTACTCATTTGTGTTAGAGACTGAGTCGACCCCAGAGCCATTGAATTGAATTTATTTACATTCTATAAATCCTAAGTAGGTTAGTACCTTTGGATACAGAACAAGTCAAAAGGTTACATACATAAGTACAGGCAATTTTAGCTTAAAAATTAATATAACTTAATTTTACATCATTCTCTATTTACATTGAAGTATTCATCTAAAGAGTAGAAGGAATGAGCATGTAGATAATTCTTTAACTCTGATTTAAACTTTTTAGTATCATTGCCCAAGTTTTTAATACTTTGTGGCAGATTGTTGAACACTTTTATGCCAGTAAAGTAGACTCCTTTTTGATATACTGATAAAGTTGATGAGGGTAGGTGGAAGTTATATTTTTGTCTAGTATTCATGTTATAGACATCAGAATTTAATTTGAATTTATCTTTGTTGTAAA